AATGTATATATTTTTTCATAAAAATATAATTTATAAATAGTACAAAAATTAAAATTTTAAGTTTATATATTTTTCTGAAAGCCTTGCATATTAATATTATTATTATTAGTAGTAGTATTAGTATATGTGCAGCATATTATAAATACTAAAAACATTTAAACGTATACTTTTTTCATTATAAATTTTATTTTAGTTTAATTAATTTAATTAAAATAAAATATATTGTATATAATGATTTCTAATTTCACATTTTTGTAATTAAATTTTGTTAATATCATATTTCAAAGCTTTTGTTTGCATAGCTGACATAGTAGAAGTGGCATAGAAGTAAACTGAATTCAAACTTCAATCATTCTTATGAGTACCACAGTTCAATGTGACAGTCCATATGTGCCACAACAAAATAGAACCTGCTTATTTGATAGATGTATTAGTTCTTAAACTCATAAATATATTGTTTTACCAGGCAGAGGGCAGTGCTGTTATAGTAGTTCAGTGTGTGTGTTTGTGAAAAAAGTTTCGAGAGATTGTGTGTGTGAATGGATCCGTCCCTGGCTTAGGGCTAAATGTAGCTGCTTTATATGCACTACAACAACCACAAGTGTGGGCGTGACCAGCAGCTTGTGTTTTGTGTGTGTGTGTGTGTGTGTCAGCACCAGCCGGCCTAAAGGAATGTGTGTGATGCTTTCCAGTTGACTTTAAGAAGACTGAGAGATCAGAACAAAAGAATCCGCCACTTCACTGCATGACCGCTATGCTTATGAAGACAAGTTAATTCTTCCTTTAACATACACTTCAGAGTGCGAAATTTTAGGAGATGTTAGCTTGTAGGACAGCGGTGTGCATGTGTGTGTGTGTGTGGACATCATGTCTCATTTTGCATTGTTTGTGTGGCATTGTTTGGGCAGATGATCTGCTCGGTATATCTGCTGATCTGTGTTGCTGTGGAAGCGGATCTGGTAATTCCTCATTGGACCACAGAACAGCTCATGGACGAAAGGCCGAAGTATCCCAGCATGCAGCTTTCCACCATCTGTCACGGGCCCTTTGTTTGGGTGTGGGTTGAGCCAGCTTTGAATCACGTTCCCATCCTTTAAATTTAAGTGATGTTTGTTACAGTGGAAAGGCACATTGACATGATCAATGGCATCTGTCTCCTTGCGTTAGGATAAACTGGACGGTTTGGCTCATGATCGGAGTTGTAGAATTTCCCATTTTGCTTGAACGGACACGGAGCCGTGGAGAAACTCGCAGCTTTTAGCGCTCTGAAATCAATTTTATCAGTCCGACTCTGCCGTCCTGCTTTTCTTTAAGACCTCTAGATTATTCATCCATGTGGCAGGGACACACACACACACACACACACACACACACAAACACACACATAAAATCTAATACCCTCTCACTCACAACCGAGACGGCTGAAGAAAGAAAGGTGAATCCCACACCTCTTTGTACAGGCCACCGCCCACATATCATTTCTCCTCACCATCCGCCCTCCCCTCCTTGATTTAGAGACTGGTGTTTTTAACACGACGCTGCACATGCTCTCTTTCTCTCTCTCTGTGCATCCTGGGACGCTGACGGTGGTGTGACTGCCAGTGTCACCAAGCAACAGTGTCTTGCGACAGGCGAAACCATCTCACGCTTCAGGAAAGCTGCTCCAGCCAATGGCGACGCAGCGCTGTGACCAATCAATGAGTCATAAAGGCCGGGGAGATGGATGCATTTGGACACTCATTAACCACAATCTCACACCCTTGTGAAAATAGCATGTATTCCGCGTGCTGTGTACTTACCGGTTGTAGGAATGAGCATTTATGCTGCTGCAGCTGGGAATTAGCAGCGATATGAGGTCAAAGGTCACTGTTCCCCTGCCGCAGGTCACCAGGAAGGTGATGGGCCTGTGCTGAGCGTGCTCTGGTTGAGGAAAATAGAGTCTTTGTGTCGGTGTGGTTGCTGGCGCGCTCTGATTAGCACTGATCCATGCTGACGACTCTGTTGGCAGATTAGCGTGGCTAGCATTGGCCATCTGTTACCACGGGCCATAACATGTGAGAAGTGTGGGTCATGTGCGCGTTTGGAGACAGATACGAGGCATTATGAGTAACACACACACATAGAAACTTAAATCACACACACACACACACACACACACACACACTCTCCCAAACACAGCGACCTCAGCAGTATATTTCACTGCCTCAGGAGTGTATGATTGATTTTCAGGTTAAATTAAATAACAGCTTTATGTAGTGTCTCTCTCTGGAAGCACGTTCATGGGAATCGAGTTCGCGTTTCTCCCGGCTGGCTCGAGAACCGAAGGTGTCGTCCATATTGCACGGACTAAACGGATACCGCAAAGCACCCGGATCGCGATTAGCATATGATTCACTCATTCGCAGGATCCGGGACCTGCTGTTTTTTCCAACAAGCTCATTGGCTGCATGCACCAAGTCAAATTAATTACGCAGCTCACGGAGATTATGATGCCTGCCTTCCAGTGCCACAGTGGAAGATGGCTAATTAGCTATAAAATCAGACTAATTCTGATGCTAAAGCTGTTTTAATTTCTGATAATTAAGTCAGGATTGGATCCTTAAATACCCTGGCATACCATTATTGCAGTAATCATGGTTGTTGTTGTTATGAATTATTTTGAGACCCTCGTCTGTTAATGTTGATGTTTAAGGTAATCACGCTAAGTGAATAGCTGTAGAGAGGTAGATGATATAACCTATATACAGTACCATTCAAAAGTCTGTAAGATTTGTTTTTAAGCAATTGATGCATTTATTCAGCAAGGATACATTGAATTGATCAAAAGTGACAATAAAGACATTTATAATGCTACAAAAGATTTATTTTTGTTTAAATTGCTGTTTTGTTCAAACTTTCTATTAACCAAAGAATCCTGAAAAAAATCATCATGGTTTCCATAAAGATATTAAATATCACAACTGTTTTCAACAATGATAATAATAAGAAATACTTGAGCAGCAAATCAGCATATTAGAATAATTTTTGAAGAATCATGAGATGCTGAAGACTGAAGTAATGTCTGCTGAAAATTCAACTTTGCATCACAAGAATAAATTCCATTTAAAAAATATATTTTAAATTGCAGTGATTTTTCGCAATATTACTACATTCTGCTGAAAATTCTGCCAAAAATTCTGCCATCACAGGAATAAATTAGTTTACAATATATTAAAATAAAAATAATTTTAATTCCTAATCTATTTTAAATTGTAATGTTATTTCTCTATATTATTGTTTTACTGTATTTTTTATCAAATAAATGCAGCCTTGATGAGCATAAGAGACTTTCAAAAACATTACAAAATCTTACGACTCCAAACTTTTAAACAGTAGTGTGATATAATCTATAAATGTAACATTATTTGATTCAGACATATTACACTATTGAATGATATGACTTATTTTAAACATATAATTCAAAATGTATGTATATTTTATATCTTATGTGTGAGACATGGTTGTGCATTTTAGAAAACCTCCCCTTAGTCTTTTTCACATTTTCTGTATGTGTTTCTGTAAATGAAGTGACTCGCAGTATCTCTTTTCACATTTTTATTACTGTGTCTGTGTTAGAATGTGTTATCTGATTGAATGTTCATTTGTGATTTACTTCTCAGCAATTTCACCGAGATATATTCAAGCACTGTGTATAATTCAATCATTGTTTTCCACTGAGCAGTGTTTGGGCGGTTATTTACGGCTGAATTTCAAGCTAGCATTCATTTAGAGTAACCTGCCATGAACTTGAATTGGCAGGGTCATGACCTGGTGACCTTTGACCTTTGGAGGCAGGGTATGAGTGAGGGGAAAATGGTTAGAAAGAGGAGATAGAGGGATGATCTGAAGCACGAGGAAGCGAAGGACAGGTGGAGCGAAAGAAAGGGGGGATAACAACCGCAGTGGCAGATTGTGGCCTCTGCTGCTATTTACGCCAATATTCAGACTCTTTCATTGTGTGTGTGTGTGTGTGTGTTAGTTTCAGCATTGCTCTCGGGTGAGGGTTGTTAGTTGATATTCTGTGGACGCTTCCATCTCTGAGATCTAATCGGTGTGTGTATGCATGTGCGTTTGTGTGTGTGTGTGTGTGTGTGTGTGTGTGTAGCAGAGACATACAAAAAGGAGAGCCGCTCAGGGGACAGGCCATGAGTGTTTATATATAATGACAGAATAACAAAGCCATGTGTGCTACACCGTGGCGCTCTCTGCCGCTTCCCCCATCGAAATCTCCTCATGACATTAGCATCCATGCGGACATGCGACCAAGCTCAAGATTTCCAAACACATAAAACGTTTAACTTGTCTTCAGCAGTCAGGTTTTTTCTGCTTGAATCACACGCTAGCGGCTGCTAATCGTATTTTCATGCGTTTAAAGTATGTGCAGATATGGTATGTTTTGAGGAGGGAAAAAGAAATTCGAGAAGGCTTGTGGGGTTTTGTGTGTGTATATGTTGGCTGCGTGCGACTGTCTTTAATATGCGTCTCTCCAAACTGTGAAATCTCCACAGAAACAGTTAAAGGCATAATTTGCCTGTTAAGCACATCAAGTGTGAGAACGCTTGTTTTACGCTGTGTAAAAATGGCTGTGAATAGTCAGTGCGCTGCTCACTTTGTGTGTGTGTGTGTGTGTGTGTGTGTGTGCACGCGAAAGTGTGTGAGCCCGTGTCAGTCTCTCTTCTATCCTATTGAAGGGGGTCTCGACAATGAATGAATGGTTAACTTGACAAGCCGTACAAACCCTCTGCCCAAACGGGACGTTAGTGTGTGGTCCTGTAGAAATATGCTCGTGGGGTTGGTTCGTCTTGCGAGCAGACGTGTGTGTGTGTGTGTGTGTGTGAAGGAGACTGACTGGTGTTAAATAGAAATATTGTTCATGGCAAGTGAAATGTGAAAGGAAGAGTGGCAGGCCGTGTGTGCGTGCAAGAGCTTGCTCTAATTATCGATTGGATTGTGTTTGACAGATATGGAGACTGGAGAACGGCTGGCCTCACCTTCCACCACCCCGGCCTCCGTCCACACCGCCACCTCTGCGTCAACATCTTCCTCCTCTTCTTCTTCCTCATCCACAGCAGCCTCCAATGCCAAGAGCAGCGTGAACCACGGAGCCATGGCCTCACTCGGCACATGCGGTAAGAACTCGTGCGCGCACACACACGCTCTTTCATGCCCTGACGCAAGGGTTGCTTATTGTTACAGTGTGAAAAGTGCTCAGTCAAAACTCACGGACAATCACACGCCAGCACATTTCCACACACACCGCCAAGTGTCGCACAGGCACGCTTTGAGCCTGTCTCCAAGTTTAGACTGCGTGGTTGGCGGCAGATTGGAGACTGATGTCATCTTCCTGTCTGATGAAGCATCTTTTTTTTCCCATCTGAGTGACATGTGATAAAGCTCAAATCTTGTCTGCTGACTGAGTCTTGTCTGATAAGGCACAAGTGTTCACTTTCTCAGATTCTGTTCTGTTAAAGGGATAGTTCTGCCAAAAATGAAAGTTCTGTCATCATTTACTGTTCCTCATGTCGTTCCAAACGATTTTTGCAGAGAGTTCAGACTGTTCTTTTTTGTAATTAGGACTGGGGCTGTCAAGAGCCAAACAATAAATAAATAACAACATAAAAGCACCATAAAGGTAGTACTTATTACTCTATATTAAAAGGTTTGCTTGGTATGTAATCTCAAGCAAGTACAGTTGAGCTTACATTTACCATATGTGATGTTATATATGCTCTGTGTGTTATATATAAGTTATAATTGTGTGGATGGACAAAAAGGATGAGAAAATATTAAAAAATATTGTCCGAAGATGAACTAAAATACACGTTTTTCAGCGGGGATCCTCCGGTAAAATTCGCATTCCAGGGTCTAAATATCACGTTATTGGGGTCGCTTCAACCCCGTCGTCGTTTTCGTTGACGAAATTAACACTGGCTGCATGAACATTCTTCAGAACTTTTCCTTTTGTGTTCCAGAGTGGAATGAAAGTTATACAGATTTGGAAATACAGTGTGAGTAAATGAGGACAGAATTGACATTTTTGCATGAACTAGGCTTACCCCTTGAAAGTTAGTGTTACGCAGTAGCATCACTGCAAATAGAGGAGCTATTAGTTTAACATGTGATAGGCTACTACTTTTAAAATAATTTAGCCTTGCATTAGAAAAACTGTTTTAGCAAGCTAGCAACACTGCCATGTTACATTTTATTCCTGACATTATTTAAGAAATTAAGTCACATATCTGGTGGCTGTTTTGAATCAGAACTAGCAATGGCTGATTTGTAAATGAATCGCTCTTTTCAATGAATCGTTGAACAGCTTAACAAAATCGATTTACAATTCAGTCTGCATTGTTCAGCTCACTCACCTACTGAACTGTGAAAGGTTTCTCACTAAATAAATCCGTAATAGGATACAAAAAAACAACAACAAGAGTGCTGATGTAAAATTAAATGTTTACCCAGAATCAGTTAAAAAACTCTTTTTTTGGGTTACTTGTGGAGCCTGAAACCTTTGTGTTTCACCAAAGAAAGAAAACACAGGTTTGAAATTATATTAGGGTAGGTAAAAAAATGATTACAGAATTTTCATTTTTGGATGAACTTGTATATTAATCGCTTTTCCAACTGTCCATAGTTTTTCTATCTGATAAAGCATCTCTTCTCCCTCCCTCTTGTGTTTTGTTCATTCTGTGGCGCAGTCAGGGCTGAAGAAAGCCACCGACTTGCTCCTGTCGTAATTACCGACTTATTGTTCAGCATGTGAAAACACCGTCCAGGATTTAGCACTCACAGTTTTGGCTGCAAATTGAAAAGCTGCTGCATTAATGAATCTCAACCAATTAACTAGGCCTTTGTTAATACTGCTGTCATCTCACTCTCCACCCCCCTTCACATAAACACACGCGCACACGTGAACACACAGGCACAATAACACAGCTTTCCCTCCATCCTTCCTGACACTCTTAAATATCCTCCTCTCCTCTATAAACGGTGAAGTTTGTAAGGCTCCACTGACTCTTTCCTGTTTGTAATTCGCTCTGTCTGCTCTGGTTTCGTTTTTGGCCCAGTGTCGTTTTCTGACGAGACTCTCATTAACAGTTGATATTCCACACGGCTTTCCACTCTTCTACTTCCTCAGCAGCTCGACAAGAGGAGTCGCGGTGAAGGGAGACCCTTTGTTTTTGCTATTTTTCCCTTCAGAATTTTGGATTTTTGAATATGTAATTCCAGCTCCAGCTCATCTCTCTTGAAATTCAAGTACCCAGCAAAATTCGGGTTCAAGTACTCACCAACTCTTTGTTGTTCTGTTTTCACAGAAATAAAATATAAAGCTCCAGTTTTAGTCAGAGCCGTGGCTTAGTGGTTACTGCAGATACTTCTGACAAGTTGAGCCATGGTGCTCATGTGGATAATGCAGGTTAAATTGTGGCATTCCATGTAGGGATGGGTCATGATGCAGGACTAGTTTACTAGTGATCTAACGGCTGACTATTCAATTAGTGGTGCTAACGTTATATATATAATTTTTAAATTTGGATATTTTTAGTACTAATAATTCTTTAAACCATGCTATAAAACTAATTTCTTTTAGATGTTTAGTTTTTAAATTTAAAGCATCACTGCTACAGACAAACATGGATTCAAATATTTTTGTTGCTATTTTTGATCATCTTGCAGTTTTTTAAAGACAGTGTGTCTAGACAAAAATAAGTTGACATTTTCTTTTTTTTTTCTGCTTCACTGATGAACCTGAAACCAGCCTGATTATTCTGGGCATTCTGAAGACCAGTTAGCCAGCTAGTTTGTCCAGTAACCCACTAAATAGTTAATTAAAAAAAAATTACGTTTTCAATTCCAAGAGTGCTGAGTTTCATAAAATAGGACTGGGACAGTTTGCATCACTCCACTTGTCTGAGATTGCTACATAGAATTCCAACACTTGATCCTGCTTTGTCCTCTTTTGGGACTATTTTTGTTGGCTGTGCAAAAATAAAATAGCTGGCCATATTGTGTCTGGTACTTTTTGTTTATAGAACGGTTTTATACAAAACAATATTTAATAAGCAAGATTACTGTATTACTGAATATCACTATGGCTGTGATTATCTGTAATATTCTGTACAATAAGCATTCCTGCTCATGTGATATAAAACTGGAAGAAATCCAAAAACAAAGAATGATCCATTTAAAAAAAAGTGATTTACTTGGGTTAAACAGACAAGAGGACCTCGGTAATTCAGTCCTAGTTGAGCTGATTAACGTTCAGAATGAGACTATCTCTCGTCAGGTTCTCACAGCGCTATCATTGCCGCTTTAAATGCAATTAACACTTTGTCCCACTAAATCACCGGCCCACAAGCGTGCCAGAGCGATAGATGATGTTCAGGTCGAGAACGAGGTGCATCTGGGCTTAAACAGAGAATATTTTAACCTCTCACAGAACAAACGGCGGCCACATGTTCGCACTTTTTCTAGCCGTCCCCCTCAGACACACAGACAATTAAGTCGGCTGTCAGATGTGTCTGTAGAAATGTGATTGATGCAAGCGGAGGGCACATTAATCGGCTTCCGCCGCATCCCACATAAGAGAGCGAACGAGGAGACAGGTGGGGGAGGACAGTGCCGCTTTTCAAGATGGCTCGGTTTGTCAGAAGATGGAGAACATGGGAAGGTGTGTTGGTGGGGGGGTGGGGGACAAGCGAAGAAAGAGAAGAGACGGTGAGAGAGAACGAAGGAGAAAGATAAAATAAGAAGGATATCAGGTAATCCGGTAATTCTGCTCTGCTCCTCTCAGAGGCTGATTTAATTATTGCCGGCTGAAAGCGCATTAATATGAAACTGGCGTTTCTGCCACTGTGTGTGTTTGTGTGTGTGTGCCAGCAGGAGCGGATGATGGTCTTTGGGGGAATATTTCCTCTCATTTATCTTCACATCCGCCTCTCTCCTTCTCAAGCTTCTTCTTTTCGTCCTTTTTTCCTTCTTTCGTCGCCACTGTCTATATCAGGATAAACCCACGAAACATACAAGCTGGATTTGTGTGTGTGAGAATTAAAAAGGACAGGCCTTAAGCTCGGGAACTGAAAGCTGTCTGTCGTATTCTTTCTTCTCTTTTCCATACTAGAGCCTAATTAAAAGAAGACATATCATGCAAAACAGGATTTTCCTGCTCTTTTGAAATAAGAGTTAACTGGCTGTGTGCAAAAACAAAAATACAGGGTGACCAATGTGGTTCGATTCAATAACAAACAACTCTTTGAACCATTCTTTTAATGAATCTGGCAAAAAAGAATCACAGACTAACAAGTTGCTGTAATAAATACCAATGTAATAAATACAACTTTTTTTTTTTACTGATTTCTCTAGGACACACTGAATCATATTCGAGAGCACCAGCTACTCACATGCAGGAAAACTTTAGAAAGACCTTCATCACTTGCAAATGATAGAATACATTTGTAGGTTTCAATTGATTCTGGGTGAATATTGCACATCATCCAGAATTAAAACATCCCCTTGCTGTTTTACTGAATGAGAAACTGCTCACTGTCCAATGGGTAAGTGAGCTGTCTTGATGATTCAGATGGAATCACAAATTGATCTTAACACGTTCTAACCCATTATTCACAAAACTAGCGTCACTAGTTCTGATTCTAAGTGGCTGTCAGAAAATAGCAGACATGTGACATGCTTAAATATTATAAGTGAAATGTAACATACTGTCTGTTAATGTTTGTACCTTGCTTCAAAATCAATAAAATACTGTAACTACGTTTTTTGCTGGCAACGCTACTGCGCAACTGGCTTTTGAAGGAATAGTAACCCAAACTGTCATTGTTTACTCACCCTCATGTCTTTTTTCTTCTGTGGAAGATAAATGGAGAAGTTTTGAGAAATGCTTACACTGGTGACCAGTGTTGTGTCAAGATGAATTGATGACAGAATCATAAATGCAGTTGATATGGCTGAGGGTGCACTATATTCCAAGTCTTAAGGTGCCATCACAAAATTTTGCGGGCAAGAAAAGGTCAATTTGTCTGTTGGCGATATTGTCGTATGAAGCACAGCTCACACAAAAGTTACTTTCAAAACAAGCAGCTTTCTGTTGGTCACGCAAAATTCCCAATTGTGTGAATTCCTTATGAAATGACTGGATTTTGTTGTTGAATATTTGCAGAACAACAGTAAATATGACTGAAGGAACAGACTGAAGTTTATCTCAAATGGAGAATATGGGTTTTGACAGACAAGAAAGTAGTTTTTTAAAGGTACAGTAACAAAAACAGCTCGTTTTTAAGGGTCGGGGAGAGTGGAAAATGGCCACGTAAAACTAAATTATGACTGTTTTCTTGGACTTTTCAAATGGACAAACATTCTAAGTGGAAAATGCTGCAAAAAATCTGCATGCAGCAGACAGTTCCTACAGTCTTCAAACATAAACAACAGCAAAGGAAAGTCAAGGCCCTCTCCTCTTCTCTGTCCCTCCTGGAGTTATAGCTATCTGCAAAAATCCTGCATTTCCCATCATCACTTTTCTGTGTGTGTGTGTGTGTGCGAGAGAGAGAGCTGGCGCGGTGCTGCGCTGCGCTGGCGGAACGGTGCGCTCAAGCCTTTCTTCTCTGTGCTCCCTAATGGAAATTGAATTTGCATGAAATATGCGGCTTAGAAATTACATGTGACTCCTGAAGGAGACAATGGGCAGCATCAGCGCTGCCAGAGGAGATCGATCCCAGAAAGGATGCAATCTGGATGATGATGACGACGACGACAATGATTAATATGAGGAGCTCTGTGTTTACATGTATACCGAGAGCCTATACAATGTCAAACAAGAGATTGAAGTGATTTATCGAACTCAGAGAGGGTGTTGTGATATCTTATAGAATATCGTGGAGATGCAAGAGCGCTTTGGGCGTCTTCTCTCCCACTTCTTCCTTGTTCTATCAAGCAGAGACTTTCATTTGGTCTGATCATAGTTATTAATCAAATACTGTCAGAAAGCCTGTGATTACATTAACATTAACAGCCATCAAACTGTCTCTCATTGAGTCTCTCACACACATTTACTTAGCGGCCTAAATGAAGACATAACATATACAGTTGTGTTTTTTTTTTGTAAATAATTATATAATTTTAATTTATTATTTAATTATAAATACAATAGACTCTCCCTACCCCTAAAAGAAAACTTTAAGCATTGTAGCTTAAAAAAAAAGATCGACTCATTTTTTAAGACGTCCCCAAGGGGAGGTTTCGTCATGTTTAGCTAACTTCTGGGGACATGCAGGGAAAACCCCTCCATGTCTGCTCTCATGTACATTACAGACAAACAATGCAAAACAGAAATTGCTCATGCTGTCTCCGTTATTGGACGTGCAAACATAAACGTATCAGGCCTTTGTGGCTGAAAATGCAGCTTCATGAGCATTGCTCATAGTCATTTCCAGATATGTGGCTTCAGGGGCTGATACTGCACTACGAGGCTATAGGCGCACACACACAGAAAGCCATACAACTTCATGAACATCTCTTTGATACACACACACACACAAGCCCACACACCTTGACAAAATGCTTTAAACATTCAGAACACATAGAAGCTCTCACTGAACTCTGAATCACTCAACACTCACTCTCGTTCTCATACAAATAACTTCCCTCTCTATTCCTAGGGTGTCACTAGAGGCGGAGAGATTTATATACTTACTACATTCAATGCAAAAAATAAAAATCTTAACTAGTATTTTTACCAGTTTATTTTAAAGCAAACCTTGGTACGATATGAATACTTACTCTAGGTTATATAGAATATAATTCGTTTTTTGTTTATTTTTTCCCACAGTGTGCCAAATAATTATTATTTTTTAAACATTAACTTTTAAAAATATTCTGGTTTGTAGGATTACCTAATGCTAAATGTGTAATGGTTTTGTGTGTGTTTGATGGGGCAGGTCATCTGTTTGGGATGACGGGCAGTGACCAGCCCTTCAGTGTCAGCTCAGTGACCTCTGTGCCCAGCGTGTATCCGCTCATGGCCCACCCAGCCTTTGGTCTGCTATCAACGGCGACGGCCCGCCCAGAGTTTGGGGGTCTAGGAGGACTGGGGATCTCTGCTGCCCTCGCAGCTCACCCACAACTAGGAGCCTTCACAGGTATGTGTGTGAACAAAAGCATGATGACACAAAGTCCTATGTAACCAAATGACACAAAAGTATAAAATTAATAAAACAATATTAAATAATATAATATAATATAATAACAGTATAACCATAATTCCGTAATAGCAACAACAACAATAAACCATACGTATAACCATAATTCATAATTGCATTATTATTATTACTAATAATAACAATGTTTGTGGCCATTTATTCGTGACTGAAGCCCTGATGATGCCAAGTCTTATGTACCTAAATGACATAAAAGTATAATATTCATAAACAAATATTAAGTAAAAATATTACATTCTAATAGTGTATATAACAGTATAACAATAATTCTAATAATAGTATATTCTATTAAAAGAAATAATAGTAAATATAATAATAAGGAAATAATTAAGAATAAGAATAATGCTTAGTGTTTGTGGGTGTTTATCCATGACCGAAGGCCTGATAACACCAAGTCCTATGTAACTAAATGACACAAAAGTATAATATACATACATCAGTATATAAATTCATCAAGTCTTATCATCAAGTTTTAACTAAACCGCTCAAAACATATGGATTCGTTTTATGGTCTGTTTATCAACTTTTTGATGCGTCAAAGTGGTAGTTGCATACACTGTCAATGGAGGGACTGAATTCATTAAAATATCTTCATTTGACTATCCCTTTAACTATAAAACTATCCCTTTTAGTAATAGTATTTTATTATAATACTATATAACAGTATAACCATAATTCTATAATAATAAGAATATCATCAAATATTTATTTCAGTCCTGTCTCATTTAGATTGTCTCCCGTAAAATTATGAGATAATTTACTCTTTCCTTTCTCAGAATGGTGGAGAGCAGCAGAAGCACATGGACGGAGTCATCCAGCCTTCTTCCCGCCTTTTCTAGGTCTGCCGCCTATGTTTGCCCCGCCGCTGCACAACCACGAGGCCAATCCTTACACATCCAAAACACCCAGCAAGAGCAGTCAAGCCTCCAAAGGTATTACTCTGTAAAACCCTAGTCTATATCTGCCTCCTGGAAAATGTATGCTATCCCTTGGAGGCAGACTTAAAGTTAAACAAAAGTAATGCAGCAGTAATGTAGCCTTCAGGCTGGTGTACTCACAGTAATCATCGCCTTTAGCAGTCGCCTCCAGTGCTGAATTCATAAGGAGATCTTCTGCAGCTTAAACTCCAGAAATCCGTGACAAAGGCTATTTGACATAGTATATATGTTGATGGAAATCTTTATTTGTTTCTGTAACTTGTAGCAAGAATCGTTTAAAAGCATCTGATTGGTTCATGTGAACTCTTTTGTGCGCAGGTGTGAACGGAGCTGTGAATGGTCGTTCACTGTCTCCATCTGCGGCTAAAGGAACGGTTTCGGCTTCTGCCTCCCCCTCCCCCGCACTCCGGCCCCCTGAACACAGCCGGACACTCAACGCTAAAGCCCGCGACCGCAAGGCCAGTCACCATAGCAACAGCACAGGGGAGCTTCAAGAGAAACCCTCACAGAAACCTAAAGAGAAGGTACAAAATCATGACATACGAGGGACGGTCATGCAGTTTGCAGTCTCAACACACAAACACTTCTTATACATGAGCAAATATTTAACTGTTTGTTGAATTCAGTAAAATTGACTCATGATTGACGTCTGTGCCAACTCATGCAGAAAGCCCGAAAGAAGCAGGTAGAGGTGTCTGGCGTAAGCGAGAGTGAATCTGGATCATCGCTGGATACTGACAGCGACGGCGTGAGCAGCATCAGCGATATCGATGATCTTGGAGAGGAAGAAGATGATGATGATGAAGACGAAGATGAGCAGAGTAAAGACAGTGAGGAGTCAGACTCAGAAAAGGAGCGGCAGAAAAAAAAGAAAATGAAAGTAAGATGCTGCTCATATTAGCTTGTTACTATTTCTGGGCAGAAAACCAATAGGTTGCAGGTTTGAACCTTACCACTGAACCACTGAGTAAACCACTTAACCCCAGATTGCTCCAGTGCATTGGAAGTCACTTTTGAAAAAAGTAACATAACAGAGGTCACTCAAAAATATTTAGGCCTAAATTTAAGGTTTGTGGATTTGAATTGAATGTAAAATATGAATTACATGATTTTAACATAAACTAAATAAAATTATGTAATGCATATTGGTCAGTCATGCATAAATAAAATGGTTAAAAAACAGGGAACATTTCTGTAATAGTACTAACAAACTGAATTTTACATAATAACCAGGTTTATATATTTATCATCAATAAATCAAATTTGTTTCAATTTCAAACATTTTAACTAAATGAATATTGCTTGTCCCACAGATGGCCATATTTTAACCATGTTAATAATTTAACCACAGTTAAGAATTATAATAATAATTTGACTAAATATATTTAATTGTTTTCACAATGGACCTGTTTATGCTTATTCTAAGCAAGTTGAATAAATGCATTTTTAAAAATATGATTATTTTAATAAATGTATTTAAATAAATTGTCATGGTTTTATTTGAGTGCAGAAATCTTACATGATAAAAAAAATCTTACTTTTGTTTCTTACTCATTTAATTTATGTATGAGTGACAAATATGCATCACATTATGTTTATTTCTTTTTTTAATTTCAATAGAATTAAAATGCATGAATCTTAAAATATTTTTTGAGAGTGTCTTAAAGTTCGAGTAACAAAAACAATCTGTTTAATGCTGAGGGTCAGTGAAAGTGACTGTTGACTGTTTTTAGTGTAAAAAAAAAAAAAAACTTAATCAACAAATGGACTTCTCTCTGTCTTGTTTGCCCAGATTGTGACGCCAAACTCTGGGCTCAGTAAGAAGGAAAAGACCAGGCTGTTGGCGGCCAAAGACTTCCACAGAGGCCTGCCGGGCAGTGCACCTTTAGAGCCCTCTCCTCCAGTGCACCTGCATCGCTCTCCACCTCCTCCAGGCCTGTCTCTATCGGGCAGCAGAGCCAGGGAAAGACCCCTCCACACCAGCGTCATCCAGTCCACAGGCCTGGCTGCAAGCGCTAAACCGTTAGCGCTAATTGCACAGTCACGTCGAGACGTTTCTCCTAAACATTCTCCACAGCATCGCACCTCCTCTCCAAAAACCACATCAGCCACTACCAAGCCCCTCACTTCCTCACCTCAGCCCCTCCCACTCTCGTTATGCTCCTCCCCCAAACCACTCTCAGTCCCCTCCCCTCCAAAACCCCTCCCCCTGTCTTCTTCTCCCAAACCTCCCCCTCTCACCCCTTCCCTCAAAGCGCAGTCTCAAGCTTCCTCCCAGAAGCCCCAATCTCCAGCGCTGGATGCTCTGACCAGCAGGAAGATTCTGGAAAGTTCTCTGGCACAAGTCACTGCTGACTACAGACTGAAACAGGTGAGTAGTCTGGCAGGAGAAATGTGAGACTGTTCATCCTTCAAGTCCATACATTAATCTGGCTTTTCCCTCAAGGCCGGCGTGCACATTTTCATTTTCCAGAAAAGCAAACCAGCTAAAGCAAATTCTCCACAGTTTGTGTTTGTATCTTTTAAGCCAATTTAGGATTAGCGCTTTTGGTATTGTTGGTATTCAGGACGTGTCTCTCCTTATTGACCAGCCTATTTGAAAAGGTCAGAGTAACGGAGAGGGAGAATGTGAGGGGGAGAGAGAATTATTTGTGTGTGTGTGTGTGTGTGTGTTGAAGACAGAAATGCAGAGAGAAGGACAGAAAGGACAGCTCCATTCTCTTATCAGTAGGACTGGCTTCCCTACTGTGTGGCTTTAGTTGGTAAATGAAAGTGACAATGTGCATCGCTTTATTAGAATTACTGAAGCAAAACCAACAGGCAATTAACTCCATGGCTTCTTAAGGGTCCAGATTTCAGCAAATGAGTGTAATAAATGTGCCTTTTCCTCACCTCTTCTTTTGTTGCCTTGAAATTACTGTTGAAGAGGTTAATATAGTTTTTTCTTCTACTTGTAATTAACCAGAGTGGTTTTATTATTATGTTACGGTGAGGAACAGTTTCATAATATTTTGATTTTATTAGTGGTGCTTACTAAGGCAACTAACGAGGTTACTCTTGCTCATACATGAGGATCTGGTGTTTGTGCTGTGTGAATGCTTCCTGAAAACATGTGGCTTGTTGAGGTGCTTTTACTTTTCTAAGTGATCAGATTTTTGTCTGGCGGATAATAAAATGTCATGAAAAGAAAGTGGAAGTTCACCAAATCTTTTTTCCTAAATACATGATTTTAATAATTGATCTTACTATAAATGATTCATGATTTATGTATACAATATTTTTTTTTTACTTCAAAATTTAACAAAATGTCACAAGACAAATCTTCGGTGAAATTGCAGACTTCTCTCTGTCAGCTGCAAGCTTTCATTGATATCTGCCTCCATCCAATCAACAACCAATGGATAGAACCAACCAAGTTCCCGGCCTACTTTTTTCACTTTGAGTCCACAATATGGAATAAAACTTGATCTGTTGTTGCTTCTGTTACATACTTATGGGGTTTATAAGTATAAGGGACACCTGGAGGTGGGCTTCTTGGCAACACCATCTAGAATTCCCTAGCAACCTCATAAAACAGCAGTTTTCTGAAGAAAATGCAAAAATGAAGTTTCAGTTTATTATTCCAATACATTCATGTTCATGAGTCTGAAAACTATAATGGTACTATGAAGATTTCAAGTGTTTGTGCTGAGCGGTTGAAGGCAGGCAGAGTTTGAGCATTCCTTCTTTCTTAATGAATGTTGTGGAGCTGATAGAGTCATGGCCGCACTGTTGTTCTCTGTTTCAGTGAGTCAGAGCAGCATTATGCTCACTCACACTCTTCCTCCACCAGCACTTAAGCCACATGACAACCAGCGCAATTACCACATCTCCACCTCTCCCTCTCTGCTGTTTTTCCCCTCTCTCTTTGTTTATCAGTCAATTTGTTGTTTGTTGCTCCTCTGGTCTTTGCTCTCAGTATACATATCTCACTTCCTCTGAAGATGTGCTTTGTTCAAGGAAATCAAGTCCTGTTTCACTTTGTTTCAAGAACAGTATTCCCCCACAGCAGTACTGGCTGTAATATTGATTTTGAGAAATAGATAAATAGTATAAATAGATATAAAAATAAATAAATATAAAAGAAATAACAAGTGTGTTTTATTCACTTATATATCAGATGTATGCATACTCCCATGTGGAATGTTGATTTAAAAAAAATCTAAAAGTGATTCCAACGATATTGTTCCTCTGTGTTGTTATTGTTATAGCTGAGGTGTGTAGTTCACTATTCTCATAAAATTATATGTGCTAAAACCTTATATTTATAGCTATCATTAAAGTTATCATCCTTGCTGTGAACGACACTTTATATTAAAAAAGAGGCATTTCAGCATCATTACTCCAGCCTTCAGTGGCACTTGTTTAGTCAGAAATCATTCTAATATGCTGATTTGGTGCTCAAGAAACATTTCTTATTATTATCAATGTTGAAATTTGTGCAAAGTTGTGCTTCTTAATATTTTTGTGGAAACTTAATATAATATATAATAATCTTAATATTTTTGTGTGATGCTCTACCGTTCAGAAGTTTGCGGTAACAAAGATTAAAAAAGAAATTAATACTTTTGATCAGCAAGAATGCAATGATTTGATCAAAAGTGACAACAAGGACATTTATAATATTACAAAAGATTTCTATTCAAAATAAATGCTGTTCTTTTTTAACTTCCTATTCATCAAAGAAACTCAAATATTATCCAGCAAAAACTTTTTCAGCTTTGATAATAATAACCATTATTAATAACTGAGCAGCAATAATAACTGAGCACCAAATCTGTATATTTGAAGGATTTCTGTGACACTGAAGATGAAGTAATGGCTGCTGAATATTCAGCTTTGTCATCACAGGTATGATTTACATTTAAAAATATAAAATAATTAAAATTAAAATAAAACGTTCTTTTAAACTGTAATATTTTACTTTTTTCACTTTCTTAATATTTTTTATCATATAACTGAAAAAAAGAACAAATATATGTTTCACCTGTTGCCTAGTGAAAATAGTGCACTTGAACCTTTTCTATTAATGTAACTTGTGCGCAGCTTTTTAGTAAATGAGACTGGATGTGATATAGACGTGTTTTAGTTTCTTTCCATCATCGTTCTCGTTGTTTTTCCTTCTGCAGTCTTTCCTGTCCCAGGACCAGACGTTTCCTCTCCAGTTAAAGAAACAGCAGGACCCATCTAAGATAAACAAGAAGGCGGAGGCACTCACGTCCTCATCTTCATCCTCCTCCTCCTCTGCGCTCCTTCTTAAGCTCAGCTCTGAAGCGTCAGGTAGGACCAAGCCCCCTGCAGCTCAAGGTGTGTCCTCCTCCAGTCTGCCTTTCTCTCATGGCCTGCTGGGTCTGGGCCAGCCTAACGGAGTCATCCAGATCACCCAGGATGTGCCGTTGGCCCTCACCACCAAACCTCGCTCAGACGTGCCCGTCAATCTCAGTACGGGAGGCCGTAAGAGCCCCGCCTCCGCGTCTCCCATTCCGAACCGCACACGTGAGCCCCGGAAGAGCAAGACTCCCAAAGCGTTAGAAGCCTGGAGGGGTTTATCCCAGAACCACCTGGTGCAGTCTCTGGTGGACCTGTTTCAACACAGCGGAGCTGAACAAAAGCTGCCCAGCAGCAAAGACTCCGATGACTCTGCTGAGGACGAAGACGATGAGGATGATGATGTGGAGGATGAAGAGGATGATGATGAAGAGGATTCAGATGACAGTCTCTCAGGTGAGATGCCAAAGGAGAGAGGTTTTATAAGTGCATTAAAGAAATGGATTGTTCAGAAATTAAAATTGGTTAGTTATTTTCTCCCTCCAAACACATAGACATCCATGGAACACAAAAGAGAATTGTTTTAAGAATATCCTGGCTGCTCTTTTCCATATGATTAAAATGAATGAAAATGTATTAAAAAAAAGACACCATAAATTATGAAAATAGTTCATGATATATATTCATGATTGTGGATGACAAGAATTTCAGTGAATAATCTTGACTAATTCACTATCAAGTCAGAAAAACATTATTTTATTTTATTTCATCTGAAATCCTGATCCAATTTAACATGCCTTACATTATTTCATACTGAATATCATTGCGTTTTCACTAGGAAATGTATCAAGTTATGGAAGAATTGTTTTAAAGAATATCCTGCCACTCTTTTCCATATAATTAAATAGAATGAAAAATGTATCGAAAATGACAAAAAAATAAAAAATAAACCTCACCATGAAGTTCTGTGGAAATCGTTCACGGTATACAGTGGTGGATAATAAGAATTTTAGTTAATAATCCTCATAGTCAGTATGAAGTCAGAGAAATTTATTTTTATTTTATTTTATTTTATTGTGGTGGATAATAAGAATTGTAGTTCATCTTCATAGTCAGTATGAAGTCAGAGAAATGTTATTTAATTTTATTTTATCCCGATCCAAAGAAATATTCCTTAAATTATTTCTTACTTTTTACTTCTTACTATTTTTATTTCAAAATACATCACATTATGAAAATTAAATATGTTGCTATTGTGCTATTTCAGTTTCTCTTTAAAGGAACAGTCCACCTAAAAATGAAAATTCTGTCACCATTTACTCAACTTCCAAACCTGTATGACTTTCTTTTTTCTGCGAAACACAAAAGAAGATATTCTGAAGAATGTTTTGTAACCAAACATTTTGGTTCCCGTTGACTGCCATTGTATTTTTGTCCTTACAATCTCAAGTCAATACGAACCACTGAAGTTGAGTAAATGATGACAGAATTTTCATTGTTGCGTGAACTATTCCTTTAATTCGGTTCATTTGTGCAACCAATGACACAAGACATGTTCTAATGATCAATTCCATAAACACTGTCTCATGTCCTCTCCTGTCGCCTTTTATTTCTCAGAGTCAGACAGTAATTCAGACAGCGAGATGAACGGCTCAGAGGGTGGTAAAAAGAAGCGCAAGGATGGAGTCATGGAGATGGACACCGATGGAGAGAAGACTCCTCAGAAACTCAGCAAGGGGTTTTCCCATCTGAACTCCTCCACCAGTCACGGCCTGTCTGACTGTCTGCCACTAAACCTCCAAGTCATTAAGCCCTCCAGTGTGGCCACGCCCACTATTGTGAGCAGCTCCGGTGCCTTGACCTATCACAGCTCTCCCTCCTCATCGTACTCTGTTGGCACCTCTCCAGGTAACCACAGGCAACGTCATTACTAAACTACAACTGGATATGCTTGACACCTTCCTTTCGAGCTCTGGCAGTGTCAAAGTGCGCATGGGGTTGAATATGTGTTGTGTGTATGCGTATGCCCTTTTGTTTGTGTATTTGTCTGTGTGCAAGCTGTCACACTCAGATGATGGAGTGTCTATTTTTAGAAAGATAAATGGTGGCGTCTGGCATCACTCGGCTCCCTTTATGCCCGTCTATTTGGGTGTGCGTCCTTGGACCTAGCCGTTGTGTTATTGAGCTCTGTTTGGCCTGTATTCCAGGAAAAAACCTAAGCAGAATTAATATTAAACTCTTTCCATTAATTGTGTGTTTGGTTTATACAGAGTCAGGTTTAGGGTTAGGTAAATGTAGCTGGTAACAAGAGCTCTCTGTGTGGTGTCTGGGTTCACCCCGGTACCCGTGTTTGCCTTAACCTGTTAGCTGAGGCACATCAACCACCTCTGTTTGGCTGACTTAATCTGTTTTTTCCATCTGAAGCTAACAGAGACATTTGTTAAACAAAACACTCACAAATCCAGCAAACATGGCACACAAGTGCATCTGCTCTTGGACGGCGTTCAGCATCCCTCACCGAAACGCTTTTTCTAATGAAGCCGAAGTGTGTCCGTTGAAAAGCGCGAGGAATCTGTAATAAGCTGAGAGGAGTTACTGTGATGATTTGTTTTTGGAGCATTATTTGAGCTGCTGAGAGATTCGTTTAACTGCCGTTTTGTTTGCAGACTTCACTTCTCGAAAAGAGAGAGATGAGAGTGATGATTTTGTTAGTCTTTTCCTGTGGTTTTTGTTAGTGTCACTATTGCTATTATTCATATTTTGAACAACACCCGATCCCTAAGCGTTAAATTTGAGCATGTAGCTTGTCTTGCATAATTTGTGCTACAGACATGAATGATACCTCAAATCACATGGCTTGTTAAGGAGAGCTATTAGTTTGCTCTTATTTGATCAGATGTTTACCTGCCTAAAAATCAGGCTAAATCCCCCATAAATTTACTCTATGAGAGGTTCTCAAGTCAAATCTAAGTACCAAAATACCATATTTGAGAATTGGAAGTGGGTTCTTTTGGCACATAAACTAGGTATACATAATATGCAGGTACCATGTCAATTATTGGCTGTTCTCTCTTTTTTTTTTTTATTATTAATGGTACTGGTTTTGCATGCACTACTGTTCAAAAGTTTGTGGTTGGTAAGATTTTTATTAAATGTTTTTGTCTCTTATGCTCACCAAGGCTGCATTTATTTGATCAAAATACAGAAACATAATATTGTGAAGTATTACAAATTAAACTAACTATTTAAAGGCAGAGTAAGCGATTTCTGGTAGCCAATGTTGATATTTGAAATCACCAAAACAAACACACCCCTACCCCAAAAGGGTCTTGCGCAATTTCTTTTACTTAATTTATTTTTACTCTTTAATAACAATAATTTAATAACCATATTAAGCAAATCTTAGAATTATTATCCATTTTTCATACTGTACATTAGAATGATGCCTGAATTTACTTGATTTGAGTTTTTAAGTGTTTAATTGTTCATTTATTTTAAAATACTTTATAATTTAAATCATTGCCATTTTTTAAAATCTTCCATTAGCATATGAAATTAATTAGATTTTTCAGTATCGGCCAGAATTTTAATATCACTGAACCCCTAGTAACCACAATTCAGGATGCCTTAGCTACCGAATTGAAATGCCCTGGCATTTTAGAGGCAAGATTTATGCATGCAGGCACCATCAAAAGCAGAACAAATAAAAATCGAGGTTTTATTTGATGTTGTTTGCTCATTATGCGAGTTGTAATTTGTAAGAGATGATGAAACGGTTTGCTTAAAGTGTGTGTATGTGTGTGTTATAATGTGTTTTGTCTGGCTGTTGTCTTGTCTCAGGCTCTGCGAAGAGAAAGCGAGTGATGAATGAAGATGATTTACGGATTCCGCTGGAAATGGGGTACGTTTAAATATGACACACGCTGGTGGCAGCATGACTCAACACCTGTTAACCGCAGCTCTGCATTCTGTGCTTCTAAAGCAGCAGAGCACACAGTCTCATGCAAACATCGCATTAAAACTGCAGATGTTTAAATACTCGTTTTGAACTAAATTGCTTGCTCTATTATTACAAACCCATTCAAAAAAGCAAAGTAGCGGCAGCATTGCACGGTGATGGTGTAATGGCATTGTACTTACATGCTTTGAATGATTGTCATATTCACATTCATAATTCATATTCAACATATCTGCATGATATCATGGTATTATCAAGGTACATGTGAATGCCACAGCAAAAAGTTATATGAAATAAATTCTTGAAAAAAGGTTTTTAGTCATTTTAAAATCTAGGTAGGTGCCGTTTATGTCATTTAACATTTACACGTTATTGAAACTTGAAGAACCAACATCATGGCTTCCTATGACTTTTAAACATATTTTACTTGATTTTTTTTTTTTTTGTGATTTTTATTATTCAGTTTGTTCTTGCCTGGAAAATAAGCTTCCTGCCTACATGCCTTTAAATAATCAATCAATCAATCAAAGTACATGTATTACCATGCCCACTATCATATAAAATATAATTAATATTAAAAATAGCATAAAAATGAAATTATATTGCATCCTGCAGTTTATCAAGCAGTTTTTGAAAGTTTGTGCCGAGTGTGTTGTATTATGCACTTCTTCTTCAATGTGTATGTTGTTGTTCTAGCTGGCAAAGAGAGACCAGGATGAAAACAGTGGGCGGTCGGCTGCAGGGAGATGTTGCGTATTATGCCCCGTGTGGCAAGCGACTGCGACAGTACCCGGATGTCGTAAAGGTAGCCTTTACCTGTGTTCCCCGCTGCCCCATGCTTAGACCCCCCAAAACGCTCAGGAAGCCTCACTCCCCACCCCTTTCCTCTCCCAGTGCACCATTAGCAGTTATTGGTGTAAGATCCAGCAGTTTATTTAGGTGATCTGGTCACTTTTAGCTAGCTGTGCACTGTTATGGCAAGTGTGCTAGGCTGCTTTCAGTTTGGTACCATTATAATGCTAATGGCTCTCTGGATGTCCTGTCTGACAAAATCACTATTATTCTCTCTTCTGTAGTATCTGTCCAGATACGGAATAACTGACATCACACGTGATAATTTTAGCTTCAGTGCAAAAATAAGGGTTGGTGACTTCTATGAAGCCAGAGAAGGACCCCAGGTGAATGCCTTTCATCTCCTCTTTTTCTTTTTTTTTTTCTCTCTCGCTCGTATTGTTTCGCTCTCCCTGTATCTCTCTTTTATCTTGAACAGGGCAGGGAATTTGATTGAACCCGATAGCCTGAATTTCCACTTTTAAACTGTAGGGAGTCTGTGCAATAATCAGTGCTCGTTGTTTCCACAGGGTGCTACTTCATGTTTTGTCTGTCATGTGTGTTGAAAGAGATTCTTTAGATTAAAGATACAGTGGAGCAAACGTTGGGACAGTTTATTGATTAAAATTTAAAATTGACTCTCTTGTTTTTTGAATTTACTTCATTTCATGCTTTTTAATTCATTTGCTTAAATTGGATCTACATTGAGAATAAAATTTCAGAATATTATTCAGAATCCGATATTTACACGGGTCCTACTTCTTGCCTTATCGTTCCGCAGACGTTTTCCTCTTTTGTTTTTTATCCGCCATCTCTATCTTTCTGTCGCTCGGCTCGGCTAATGTCCGTCCCATGCACTGAAAGCTCTCTCCTCCACATCACGAGTAGACACGCCCCTTATTGCTGATTGGCTACAAGTTTGTTTTGCTGTTCGGCCCGAATCAGTTTTCTAAAGTGTTTTTGAAAAATCACATACCCTGCCTTTAATAACAGCTGATCTTTTTTTTTAATTTAATTTTTCCTAAAGCTGAAAAGTAATAATTTCTTTAAAGGAAAATACATTGAGAATAACATTTCAGAATATTACCAAGTAATAATTATTAGAGTTACATGATCATTAGTGATGTGACGCTCCTCTAGGGAACCAGACTAAAATAGGAAACTTTCTGTGTTTCTACCGTCATCTTTATAAGTCTGACCCTCCTCTGTCCCCTGCTTCCCTCAGGGTCTGCAGTGGACTCTTCTGAAAGAGGAAGAGGTCATCCCCCATATCTTGGCCATGGAAGGTCAGCGAAGTCGTCCACCCAACTCTGAGCGGCAGTCGAGGGGCGGCAGTGAGGTTTCGGGCAGACGGCGGCGAAAGGGCCGCCACCCGAATCTAGGAGAGAGCGAATTCCCAAGTCCCTCCGAGGCCAAACTGCTGCGCAAGCTGGAGGCTCAGGGTAAAGTGCTTCTTTTTGACTTGTTCTCCTCATTCATAGATAATAACGCATGTATTGATGGAAGAGATTGGTCTGATTTCATTGCAGAAATCGCCCGACAGGCGGCTCAGATGAAGCTCATGAGGAAACTAGAAAAACAGGCACTCGCACGGGCTGCCAAGGAGGCCCGCAAACAGCAAGGTACTCCAGGCTTATGAATATCACTCTGTTACTCACAATGGCATTCAGACATCTCGCTTAAGCCTCGTTCTATCTCTCATTCAGCTATTATGGCTGCAGAGGAGAGGAGGAAGCAAAAGGAACAGTTGAAGATTCTCAAACAGCAGGTGGGTTTGTGAAGGAAACCGGTTTTCGGTCAGTCTGAGGGTCACTTGGTATGAGATTATAAGCGTTAATTCAGAACGGAGACCGCCGGTGCTTCTACGGCCGCAGCTCGGCTGCCAGTCGACTTTTTTAAATGCACAGCAGCACTTTCAATTAACAGACTTCCTCCTCCTCTCCTACCAGGAAAAGATAAAGCGCATTCAGCAAATCCGTATGGAGAAGGAACTCCGCGCACAGCAGATTCTCGAGGTACGGAGTGACTGCGGAAAGAAAATAATAAATTAAAAGTTGAAATAGGCTTAACATTCTTAAAATATACTCCATGTTTAACATGGAGCCCGGACCACAGCAGAATCACTCACCAGCATTTCGGGGCTCTGAGTTCTGCATAATTTTCGTCAGGACTAATGCTAAATTGGTTTTGGTGGACAGTTTTTGAATATTAAATTTGCTGCCTCCTGTGTTTCAAACCAGAGGTAAATTAGACATAAAAGATTTTTTTCATCAGACAATGGCAGTTCTTGCATAAGTAGCAGGAGGAAGACACTGTTTACTTTACTCACCCAATTATAGAGGCTTCAAAAGTGTTTTAGCCGGGCAAAATCAAATTGGAGCTGACACGCTTGGCAAGCCATTCTGAACAGGATTTCTTGCTGCTTGTAATTACGTATTTAAATTTTCAGCTAATTCGCCTTTGCTTTCTTTTTATATTGCCGTTGTCAGAGCCCGAGGAATATTGAATAGTTTTGAAGATCTCGGGGCTGATTCTGACATGGACTTGAAGAGAAAACATTCTCAATCACTGACTCAATGATCTGTAGCTAGAGAAAGCGCAACAATGGCAAGACGTGAGACAGAAGGGCTTTCCTGTGCGTGTGTGTGTGTGTGTGTGAATGTTTCGATGCCAGCTCTCGCTTTTCCTCTCGCAGACACATCAATCAAAGTGCTAGTATAAGTTATAAATAAAACAGATGTTGGTTTAGCGTGTTTAATTTAGGTTTATACCTAGGACGGCAGCACTGGTCTGACCCAGACCTGTTTTGCATTGGCAGGCAAAGCGGAAAAAGAGAGAGGAGTAAAAATGCACAGTGCATCTTTTCATGTCTTGTACACATGGGGCCCTCACTAGAATGCACAACCTGCTCTAAATAGCCTCCCTTATTTAAATGAAGTTTTTTTGTCGAGTATTATGGCTTTTAGTCACGTCCGATAGCTTTGCAGCCATCTTGTATCAAACATAGGCTTTTGAAATGCACAGACTTTCTCAGGGCAGTATGATGAAAGTGTTGTATGGTATAAATAATTTTGTCACCTTAACAGTATACCACAATCTAGTTATTACATGAAAAAATGGTCAGTGTATGGGGTCATTTATTTATTTATTTTTTGAGAAATAAATTACTTTTAAATACCTTTACATTCTTTAAATAGTAAATCAAATTCATAAAAAGTGACAGTACAGACATTTTACATTTATACAAGAAATTCAAATAAATCCTGTTATTTTGAACTTTCTATTTATAAAAGTGATGAATACTTTTTCTACAAAATATTAAGCTCATAATAAGACTATTAATAAGAAAATGGTTATTTTAAATTATACTAATGTTTCATATTACCATTTTTACAGTTTTTATATTTTTAATCAAATACAAAAAAAGAGCATATGAGACTTTCAGAACTTTAAAAAAAATCTTACTGGCCCCAAAACTTTTAAACGGTAGTGTATTAAATCAAGAATTTTTCACCTGCGATCTATTAATGAAATGTCTTTAATTTTCAATTTCTTTTTTCTTCTCTTTGGTAAAATAACAAGGTTTCCTTAATAAAGTAAAAATATATTTTTGTTGTCTTTGAAACATCCCATATAATTTTTCTCTTGGAAGGAGATCATCATATTTGGGGATCCATGGCATCAAAAGATTTGAAATAACTATTTTTGTCTCTTTTTGGATCAATTGTATGTAGTATTGTAGAGTACTATATATGCCACCATACCACTCAGCACTAGTCTTTCTCTTAAGGGAAAATGAAACCAAAGTTGATGACTCATCTTGTTTGCAGGGGCATGTACGATTGTGTAGATGGTTGACTTGTTCTGTAAAACTCTTCATTTTGCTGATAGCATGTTTAGGTAAAATATCACATATATCTCGCATGACTTGAGTTACCATTTATATACAGATTACTGCATTCTTAGGCTTCATGGTTAGGACAGAAGGCCCAGGCAGGGTTCTGATTGATGGTTTCATTTTAGACTGTCATAATGAGTGTTTTGGTGTAGCATTGAATCGTTTTTATGTTTTGTGTTTGTAGGAGAAGGAGATGAGACGCCAACAGGCTGTTATTCTCAAGCACCAGGTCAGTCACCACTCTCATAAATAATAGGTCTCATAATGGCCATTTATATAGTAGTAGTGATTTTTGCTACAAAATGAAGGCGAAAGGGAGGCAAAGAGCATGTTTTTCTTGTAGAGTTCAGTCACCATGTGAAATGCAGTGCATTATGGGTTAAAAAGTGTCCTTTAATAGATTTGTTCAGTCTATGCCCATGTAAGAAGTGGCGAGTCTCATGTGGTTCTGTCTTTAACTTTCTGCTGTTTCTCTCTGGTTAATTTCCATGCGTTTTGGGAGTGGGATCTGTCTCTTTGGGATTACAGGCTGAAGTTTTGAGTTTGTTTGTTTTTTTCTTTTCTTTTTAAATGACGCTGTGATTTTTTTTCTGTCTCATAATACTCTGCCAACTCTCTCTCTCAGGAGATGGAGAGGCATAGACTAGATATGGTATGGGTATGTTTCATCTTCTGTACATCTAACACTCGCATCGTGAATCCTGGTTGTGATATGATGTCATAGCAGCACATTTTTAAATGTAGCACTGGCTGCTGTCAAAACTACATTTTCCTTCTGCATGGCTTTTCAAGCAAAAAAAAAGAGAACAAAAGAAAAAAACTGCATCGCCTACATCTGCTATGCGTGTCAATGAGAGAAAACCGGCTTTGATGCAGCAGGCCTGTGCCTTGTTTGTGTATGTGTGTGTAAGGGTGAGTGTGTGTGTGTGTGTGTGTGTCTATGGAGCCTGTTGAGTACATACTCTCATTGGTGGAAAGTGCCACACACCCTCATTCCACGTGTAAAGTCACCCCAATATTGTGTAGTATCATTATCGCTGTGAAAATGTGAGTGTTGGTGTGTATGTATGTTGTGGCAGACTCTTTGTCAACATGTTGCATTTGCACTGTGCTGATTGTCCTGCCTGTGAGGTCATCAGTACAGGTCAAAGGTCATTGTGCCTGACCAATGAGAGAATTTGAGGAAACTCACACTTCTCTCTGCTGTACATTCCATGCCATCTATGGGTCAGATATGAAGATTTCACACTAATTGGCTTTGTCCTTAAAGTCAACATGAGACAGCATTCACAATCCATTTTGCTTCCTTAATGTGATATTTTTCAGAGTAAAATATTTAACAAATTTGTGCAGCACTTAATTTTCCACTTCATTCCGTTAGGAATTGATTGGATTGTAAAAAAAAAAGTGGACATTCCATACCAGAATGGAGCCAAATCTGAATGCAAGTTTGCTAAAAAATGAATCAATATTTTGCCTATTAGTTAGAGGTGCCCTCTGTAATTTTTAGAAATTACAGATAAAGAAATTAATAAAGAAATACTTTTGATAAATATATATTTAAAAATCATGTATACTCACATAAGATAAAGACTCTAGTCATATCAGTAATGCAATAAAACTTGTTAAGATCATCACACATAACGAGCCAAATACTGCTCACTTCATCTTGGTTAAAGGGATAGTGAAAAAGTGAAAGTGAAGTGACGTGTGGAATTTGTGCTCTGTATTTAACCCATCCAAGTGCACACACACAGTAGTGAACGCACACACACACACACACACGCA